TAAAAAGTCAACTTGAGTAGTGTGAAATACACACTTTTCTATCTTGGCATACAATCCTGCATCTCTAAGTTTTTGTAATACTTGACGAACATGTATTTCATATCCTTCGACGTTCTTTGAATAGATCAGGATATCGTCTAGATAGCAGACGACAAAATTGTCTAAGAATTCATGAAATACATCATTCATGAGATGTTGAAAAGCAGCTGGTGCATTTGTGAGTCCAAAGGGCATGACATTATATTCGAAATGTCCACACCTGGTTCGAAACGCAGTCTTCCATTCATCTCCTTCTTTGATCCGTACTAGATTTTATGCTCCTCTTAGATCTATTTTTGTATAGATCTTAGCTTGATTCAAGTGGTCAAGGAGTCCTGATATCAAAGGTAATGGATACCTGTTCTTGATTGTGATCTTGTTGAGTCCTCGATAATCAACACATATTCGTAAAGATCCATCTTTTTTCTTTACGAATAGAATTGGAACTCCTGCTGGAGATTTTGAATGGCGTATGAAATTCTTCGCTAAATTATCGTCAATATATGTCTTGAGTTCAGCCATCTCATCTTGCGATAAACTGTAAATTGGTCCAAATGGTGGCTGAGTTCCTTTCTTGAGGTCGATTGAACAATCATATGGGCGATGCTCAGGAAGAATATCTGCATTCTTTTTCTCAAAAACGTCTTGATACTCCTGATATTGACTTGGAATGCCACTTGAAGTCTTTACGTTTTCAGAAATAGGTGCAGCATAAATAGCAAAAGTTGATCCTTCTTTTGCTGCGTGTATAAATGCTTTTGCACCTAACTGGATTGGACGGGGATTTAATTATGTTAAAAGCTATGTAGCTATCATGATCGTCTATTGTTACTTTTATAGGATGAGTTTTATGAGTGACATCTCCAGAAGACAAGGGACGACCATCTATGACTTCTACATGTACTGGTTTAGGTTTCTGTACAAAGGGTATTTTACGACTTTTAACAAATTATTCATCTAAAAAACATGCTGAGGCTCCCGAATCTAATAAAGCAGAGGCTTTGTAATTCTTAGGTCCTAAATATAAGTCTATTATAAAATAAGGAGAGGATTCTGAGGAGAGGATAGGACCTTCATTAGGAATTGTACAAGGTTCCAACTGCACGGTCCCTATTGTAGCTGGACGAATCCGTTTTCCGACATGTTGTCTTCTTTGACCGTCGTACCCCTCATTTTATAGTTGCGTCGTTTCTTTGGACAATGTTGAGCAGTGTGCTTAGGTTCTCCACAATATAAACATAATCCTTCTTGACGACGATGAATCTTTTCTTGCTTAGTTAGGAGTTTAAAACGTACCGCGTCAATTTGCATGTCTTCTACTTCCGAATGTACGTTTGGCAAAGATGTTGATGTTGCCATTGAGTAATAATGTTGAAGTTCTCGTGAATGATTCTCGGATCGAAATTCGAAAAGTCGATTATCACATTTTACCGCAAAATCGATTGCTTGACTCAAAGTTTGAGGATCAGGTAAGTTGAGCATCAATTTCTTTACTTCGTATTGCAATCCATAAAGAAATTGACTGATGAGTGCAGCATCATCCCACTTGATGTCAATTGCAAGTTGTCAAAATTGTGAAGCATACACTGCTACTGAGCGATTTCCTTGTCGCAGAATTCGGATCTTATTTGTTGCAACACGAGTTGCATCGTGTTCACCATACATAGATCGAAACTCTGCCAAAAAAGCTTCCAAATTGTCCAATATTGAATTTCGTTGTTCAAGAAAAGACAAAAACCACGATAATGCAGAACCAGAAAGTAGAGTGCCAATAAACCTGACTTTTGATCCTGGAGTTGGATAGCTTTGCGGTTGAAGTTCAATTGCCAATTGTACTTGATTGATGAACCCTCGAAACTTTGATCTCATACCATCAAATTTCTCGGGTAAGGTAATTCTTGGTTCTCTAGTGCTTACAGGGTGTTGTACAATTGGAGAAGGAACGTGATTTGTTGTAGATGTTGAAGCAGCTCTGATCATCTCTATATCCCCACTTTCTGCCATTCTTATTTTTTCCTTTGTTGGTGAATTGAGTTGATGCATCGCAAGCATTAACTCCCTCATTTGCTCTTGCATTTGTGCCATTGCACTCTTCATTTCAACAAGCTCTGCCATAATAACACTAAGAAGAAAAATTTGTTTGATACTGCTCAAGACAAAAGAAAAGAAAGACTTGATAACAAAGAAGATACTAAGAACAATATCAGTTTAGAAGTGGATAATCCGCAAACTTCCAATACGCTTATGCCTTGTCAAGAGAAAGGGGTAATCCACTCTTACTGAAGAAAAAACAAAGCTCTGATATTGTAAATGTACTCTTGTCAATCTGTCAAGGACAAGAACTCGATGAAAAAACAGTTCAGACAAGTAAGCCTTCACTCAAAGAAAAGTAACAAAATATGAATAATAAGTATGTATATTGAAAAGAAAAACTAGAATGGCTATTGCCAAAAGACAAGAAAACTAGAGACCCTTAAAACTAGACTAGAAGCAAGAAAGGAATTGACAAGAGTGAAGAAGCCTTCACTCTTGTCTCTATATATACTATCTAACTAAGGGCTACGTGGCGACGTTCTATAGGACCTCCAATATGTGTTGACTTTGTAGGACACATGCCTTGACTTACAAGGCAAGTTTTTCTACGTGTGGGCCATATAGTTAGCTTGCTCTTCAAGCTAACAACATGTGTGGCACATGGCCAACTTGTTGACCACGTTTCTAATCCAAAAAGTCAATTAAAGACACCTATGAAGTCAAAGCAGCGTCTAGGAAGTTTCTAGGAAGCTTCTATATTAAATATTATAGAATTAACTTACTTTTATCTACTTTTACTTACTTCTACCTATTTCTATATGTAATTATTAGCTTACATGATTATGGCCGTGACAAAGCCTTTGACTAATAGCAAAGTGAGAGTGTTAATCTAAATAAGTAAATATGAAAGTAGAATAAATAACATTGAAAAGGATATTACTTTAGATATCTAAAAAGGCCAAGAGATAAAGTAGATGAATGGATAAAGGATATTAAGAATATAAAGAATATGCTAAAAATATATTCTTATAGTAGATAAAATAGCAATAGATAGTCTTGGTAGAATGTTGGATGGATGTATTCATCAAAGGATGGAAGTTATCCATGAGAGAATTAGCCACTATCTTTTAGTAATAGATGTTGGAAGTGGGAGATATCTTATTCCATACTCTCTTTGTGAACAACCTTGCTGATGTTATGTATTGGTGACTTTAAAGTTCTTTTTTTCAATAGATTTAGCTATAATGACCAACTGTGGAAATTGAATTGCAAAAAGAACAAGATCAAATGAGTTGCCAATAGCGAACTCCATTCCTATCAAAGTGGCACTAGAGTAATTATGTACTCTTCTTTTCAAACAATAGCTACTTTGTAACAGACTAATTGCCTACAACGTGTTACAATATCCATCTCACATACTATGTCCCAACCCATTTGACAGAGGTTTAGAATGCCATTGCCAAAACCGAAGAGGATTCAAAAATCACAGAAATTGCTGGGAGTGTGACTGGTGGTTACTCTCTGAGTGATGACGTTGGGACATAGTCTGTGAGATGTAACATAGTCCATTCCAACCAAAGTGCCACTGAGTGATGACGTTGTCCGCCTCCGCCCTGGCCCAGAAACTATCGCAGCTCAGCATCAAAGCGGCGATGAGCACCAGGATGATGGGACTGTGTTTCCCTGAGGACCCCATTGTCAACAGCTGAAAGTTGACAAATGACACGGAAGCATTGCAAGAGTAAATGTATTGTACTATTTCGCAAATCTACTGCTGCAAAGTACAATAGCTGGCACCGAGCAGAAGCACAGACTTCACATTTAATCCACCCAGATGCCAGATTTTGGATACTTTTCATATAACTCTAATCGTGGGTCGTCATCACTGTCTGTCACCGTCACCATCACCGTTTCGCAGCCTGCGTCCTTTGTGTAGTTTTGAACGAAGTTCAATAGATCGTATTATTCCTGCTGGCATATTGGCCAGGTTCAGTGCACGAGTCCTGTGCGGCACCATATTCTAATGAGCAAATCTCTCGCCTTTATCTAAAAACTGGCTGTAGTCCTATACTTGTTGTTTTCTTGCGCGGGAAATTCGGTTATGTTCCGAGCAGAACCTTTTTGATCCAATTACTGTGATCGCTTTGAATTTAGGTCTGATGTACAAAGCATTGACCCTGAAAACCCTTTGAACAGAGATCGTCCGTGGACGAAATCCTGAATTTACGAAAACCGATGTCATTTTTGGTGTGCTGATTAGTTTAAAAAAACACTTCCAGGAGAAAAACAACAGTTGTGAATGCAAGCACATCCACAATCTCCTAAATTAAGAGCACCATTATCTTCACCCCTACCTTCTTGAGCGAATGGCAAAAACTGTACTTGTAGTATGTGTGAACCCACTTGTACTTGTAAAAACTTGTAGTAGCATGGTGAACCCACTTGTAGAATTTTTAAGATATAAGACCGCCAGGTTTTCTGAGTTTAGCGAAATAAGGATGTTACCCAGTTTCACCCCTGTGACTAATTACTTCAAGGGTCAATCTTTCGCATCGTGGCTTCAACTACAGTGTATTCGTAGTTCAATTGACCTGCAATTCTACACCCTCTACATTCACCTGTAGTAAAAATTCCTGCTCCTGTCATAGTTCTGAAAATGTGATCCTCTATTATACCGAAGCGGCACCGATCTGAAATACAGTAACTGAATTAAAACAGTAACTACTTTCTTTGTTTCATCAAAAGTCAGTTGTTGGCTTCCCTTCCAAGAGAACTGCAAATCTGCTATGTTGGTCATGTGACTATCATCCCTATCTTCTTGATGTCTGCATCCCTCTCTGACACCGTCAAGCATTCCTTGCAAGTATTAGAATCGGTGATCAAGTGAGAAACATGTGATTTAGGTTGTAATCAACTGTAGGCTGATGTCGTTTTATTTAGGTTTCCATTCCCAGACAAATGCCTTCCTTGACAAAAGCCAACTTCTAAGGGGTTGATGAACGTATAAGAAAGTATCCAGTACCCAACGGGGATGATCACTATGGATAGCAACCAGATTCACTTTGAAGTTTGTGGCCGTCGGTCTTCTAGGTTTACACATTGATGCAGTAAGGAGATTTCCAGTTGACTTAGTTTAGGAATTAGAATCCACGGAGGTCTGAAGGGAGAGCAGTGACGTTGGAGGCGAATGGTGAACGTGAACATTGCACTTGGATGAAACCCTCCATAGATTCTGCGGCCTTCATTGTTGTTTTATTCGAGGCGCGATGACATGCTCGAAATGTGGACTGAAGACAAATGAGATGGAGAAGTCCACCGAATTTTAACGGAGGGAACAATTTCACCTGTAAAACCGATTGCTTCAGAAGATTCAAGTCGAAGATGATGAACTTCAGCGACATAAAAGCTCTAGAAGCTCTGTTTCGTTCCTCGAGTAGCGATGGAATCCGTGATTATTCAGAACCACAACCAGAGGCTCTAAATCCAGGCCATATTGGTCCACAATACAGTAAAAACGTCAAAGGGGGAGAAGAAGACGAAAGTAAGCTCCTCACAAACAGCGTGTTTCTCCAAGATCAGAAAGCCTCGTTGACTTCTGCTCATTGTCATACACTACCGAACAGGGATTGTTTCTTCCAAAATGAAATACTCTTGACATTCAAATTGAGTTACTATTGAGAAATTCGTAAATTCTTGAAGGAAATTAACAAGTAAACACAGGAATAGTTCAAGGATCACATCCATATTCTCAGGCGAGACTATGATTGTGCTGGGTTTCCAGAGAAAGAACAAGACAAAGAGGAGGAACCTGAAATCGACATTGACAAGGATGCCGAATTACATGGCCGGGCTCGTTTCACGCCAGAGTAAGCTCCTCGCCTCCACACACACACACAAAAAAAAAAAAAAAAAAAAAAAAAAAAAACACTGTGAGGTCTAACTTGATGCTGTTAACTCGCTGCTGAATGTCATCACCTGACAATCGTGAACTAAACAAGTGACTTCAACCAATGCTTTGTGTTGTTCAATTTGTGAAGCAGGTACGCATTCGTGTATAAGCAAGCTGTGTCTTGCAACGATGTTTATATGCAAATGGTATTCTCGCTTCCTCCAACCTCTGAGATAAAAAGATCTCGGAAGCTAATGAACCCACCGTTCCTTTAGTCTTCCATCATGCCTTCCTGTTTACATTCTCTTTTGTTCCCAAGAAGTTTCAATGCCACGTTTTTACAATGAATCGTAGAGCGAAAAGGACTGCGGAAGTTTGAGCTGTGAAGAATTGGTGATGAAAGTTAAGCTGCCTGGCACAGATGGCTTGGAAGAACTGGATCTGGATGTGCACAAAACCTACTTGAAACTTGTATCTCCACAATAGTAAGTGGATCCGAAAACTTCAAACACCTCTCAGGCTGTTCGAATCCATCACTAATGAGCATAGATCTTATCTGATATATCTGAAGCATTTGCTTTGTGCAGAATTTCTAACAATTGAATCATACAAATTGATGCAAAATGATACACACGAACTGGTCTGTTTGCTTTTGGGAGAAGTGCAGTTACCTGTGTTTGCATCTGCCTCACAAAGTCAACATGGAGCGGAGCTTTGCCAAGTGGGATCCCGTATTAGCAACCCTAATCGTCACCATGCCCATCATTGAGCGTGACTGGATGCGTCAACCTTGAAGTTGGGTTAGCAGAAGCAGAAAAACTTCAATCGAATAACGGAGTGTGCCAACAAAACACAGGCTTTAGGGTAACTCTAACCCATTTACTTTCAGAACCGTATCACAATCTGATTTAAGATGCTCTTCAACTAAAATGTGCTCAGTTACCACCTCACACCTCTTCGGGTCAGAAATTTTACAGTCACCCACGGAATACAAGTGACAGAAACTCCACCCATCAACTTCTGACGTGGATCAGAAGTTTCCCAAAACCCATTTCCTTCAGCATATGTGTAAAATTCAGCTGAAATCGCTCTGAAGCCGAGTCGCTCAAGAAACCTCTTCCAGTGATGTCGCTTGCACAAGCTCTAGAGGAGCTTTTGAGATGTCTGCAACTTCCCATGCAGCGTATGATCTGTAAATTCCTGTTACACCGCGTACTATAAACCGGTTGACTAGAGAAACGTTGCATGGAAGATGATGACTGTTGCTGGAATGACTGTGAATCACAAGAGTGCCAGACAGATTTTGCAGATTACCCAACTATTGCGCCATCACAAACGCAACGAAGGATCCACATGAAGTGATGTCTAGAGAAAACCATGCAGGTTCAACATGTCGAACAGTCATCGTTTTAGAAGAGATTGAGGAGTGGAGCGCTGAAGTTCACACGTTCGAGTGGCAATCTTCAGCTGCCAAGAGGCCAGCACTCAGAATCTGATCTTCAGAATTTTCCACTTGAACTCCCTCAGCAATAAATTTCAAAATGATGCACAAAAGGAGAGTTAGATGGCAGTTAAGAAACTTAACAGGAAATGAGAAGTCACGGTAGTGGTCATGTTTGGTATTTGGTTTTTGTATTTCCAATTTTCTGGTTTTTGTGTTTTTCCAGCTCTCAGAGTTTAAAAGGGTAAACTATGGCGTATTACACTTAAGTAATATAGATTGAAATTTTATAGTAGTAAAAAACTTTAAAATTATATTAGAATAGCTCTAAATGATAAAATGTGTAATTCTACATATCCATGTTGTAATTACATACCAGAACTTTGGGCAAAATACCCATTTTTGCCGAAGTTTTGGTATGTACTTCACAAACTTTTGGCAAAACTTCGTTCAAAAAAATAATAATTTTTAAATGTTGTAGATATATTGTGATGTTGGTTTTTATGCAGTGTTTTATAAGAGGATATGTTGTGTATAAACCCCATCTTGATCAAGAAGCTTAATCAACTAATATAAATAAGTAATAATATATATAAGGAATTTTTTAAATTGAGGTTTTGAAGAATGACATTGTTTGTGAAAATAAGAATATTACATCCTGTAAAACACAACGTTGGATTTTGAAATTTACAAATTTATTAAAATAAATAAATTTCATTATTATTATTACTATTCTTATAATCTCTCTCTCTTAAACAAGTTGTACATATTTCAAAAAATACATATATTGGACTAGGGATTTTTCTAAAGTTAATGCTATTTATTTTCAAAATTTTATTACTAGTCTTAAGTCTTTTATGTGCATAATGAATATTTTTTGCTGTTCCAAAATAACTTGGTCTAATTGAATTCAATCCATTTCACACCAAATAATTCTAAAGACACACACAAATATTCAATTTTTAATAATTTTAAAGCTTAGGCTCCAACATGCTATTCTTCATCAAATCATCTTCTATACAAATAATTTAATATTTTTTATTCTTTTTTAACTCAAAAATATTAAAGATTTTTTATTGACTTTGACACATTACTTAGGATCACACGTGATTCTTTCATCTCAAACAGATAGCCAGTTGGGTTATGTTTTCAATATTAAACTACTGCCTTTTTTTCTTTTGGTGCTCAATGGGTTTTTCAAAAAAAATATAAACTTAAAAATAGTAAATGTGCTAGAACTGAATAAGAAGCTTTAATAAAATGCAAGTTTTTATATGTTAAAAGCATTACAAAGTCATACATATAATTCAAATAAATTTGAAAAAAGGAGGGATATTCATCCTCATTTATTTTATTTTATTTTATTTTTTATACCAAATAGTTGGTAGACTTCTTTGGTTTCTTTCTACAAAAAAACATTTTGTGTCACACTGAAGAAAATTTATTGATAAATTTGAGGTTAAAGATATTTGATATCATAGAACTTAAAAAAGTTGTGCAACAACAAAGATCCTCATCACTGTTTATTCTAAATGAAAAAAAAAAAAAAAAAAAAAAAAAAAATGTGGATCTTTGGTAATTGAAACATGACAAAACGACTTCAAAAATACTCTACTGGATGTGATAATGGAAATAAAACAACATAGCACAAAATTTACAAGTATTTCCTTGATCAAAATTTCTTTATTTTAAAAAATATAAATTTTGATTTTGTTAAAAAGAAAATATAGATAAATTTTCAAATGACAAAATAACATTAAAAAACAAGCCTTTAATCCTCTATTCAAACTTAATACTTAATTATACTATGTATAAATATTGGGATTATTTGAACTTTTGTTTTTTCATATATATATATATATATACATATATATATCTTAGGGAATCATTTAGTAGACATCTATCCTTTATTTTGTAAACCCAGGCCACAAAAAAGAAGTATACACGAATGCAATAATACTTCAAAATGCCCACAAAAAAGAAGTAGTTTTGATTTTAAAACATACTTATTGTTATATTTATTACTATTATAGCAAAATTTGATATATTCTAATCCATTTGTATTTTATAGCTCCATATTATCTTAGCCTTAAATTCGTTTGTAATTGCAAATCTTTGTCAAATTAAAATTTTGAATAAAAAATAAAAAATTCTAATATTATTATTTTTTATTGATATTAAATAAAAATAATAAAAAAGTAAAAATCTGATTTAAATCAAAACTGGTTATTTTTTGCAAGAATATGTATGCAAAGGTGCAGTGCATAAAGAGGTATCTATGCAATAAATAAATAAATAAAAATCCACCTAATATTTTTTACATTTTATTATAAAAAAATTAAATAAGAAAATCTATTACAATGCATATAATTATAATAAACATATCCTAATAAATTTTATCAAAAATTAATTTAAATAAAAAATTATTAATAATTTGTATATTTTTTAAAAAATATTATAAGTCATGTTAATTTAAGATCCAAAATCAAGTCAAAGATTTTTTTTACTTATTAATGAGTTAATTAAGAAATATGAAAATAAGATGATGCATTAAAAAAAACATTCTTAGAAAATTGGGTAACAAATGAGAAGAAAACAATGTCTTATGGACATATATATTTACTCCAATAATTATCTAAATAATATAAATAGGTAGAAATAAGTAAAAATATATAAATCTAATAATTACTTTTGAAAAAGCTTCTTAGAAGCTTCATAGATGCAGATTTGTTTTTATATGTATTTGTAGATGATTGATAGATTGAAAATTTGGCCAACAAATTAACCACAATTTATATATATTGGCTACTTGTGGTACAAGTTAGCCACATGGCATACATATAGAAAACTTATCTTGCAAGTTAGACATGTGTATTATAAATTGGCCATGTATTGGAAGTCCTACAAAATATTGGCTTATAGCTCTTAATTAGATAATATATCAAGTAGCAAGATTGAAGTCTTTTTCACTCTTGTCAATTCTTTTTTTACTTCTAGTTTAATTTCAAAAGTCTCTAATTTCATAGTATTTGGCAATAGCTATTCTAATTTCTTGTTGAATATACATATCCTTTTATTTTCTTTTTGTTATCTTTTTTTGAGACATATCTCACTTGTTTATTAATATTTTTGAAATTCTTGTTCTTTATATATTAATAAGAGTATAAATAAAATATTAGAACTTTGTCTTTTTTTAATTAAGAATAGATTATCCATTTTCCTTGATAAGACATAAGTATATTAAAAGTTGTGGATTATCCACTTCTAAACCAATATTGTTTTTAGAATTTTCTTTATTCTTAAATCATTTCTTCTACTTGTTTTAGCTGATATTAGATTTTATATTTTATATTTTTTTTTTATAGTAGAGCTTATTAAATTAAAGAATACAATGGCACAAATGCAAGAACAAATGAAGGGATCAATATTTGTATTGCATCAATTCAATTTAGTGATATTAAGAACAACAAGATTGGTAAGAAGTAAAGAGTCATTCAAGTATTATAGAACCAAGAATTAATTTGCATAGGAAGTTTAATAGTAAAGATTAAAATTTCATGGATTCATCAATCAAGTATAAATGGTGATTAAACTTCAATCTTAAAGCTATGTAACTCTAAAATCACAAGTCAAGTTTATTAAAATATTATTTTAAAGTTTTATTTTATAATATATATATTTTTAAAAATAATATGATCTAATATTGGATAGTTTGGAAGTTTTTTTTTAACAAAGTTTGAATTCATGTATGAATAACATGATGTAATTTGTATTCTAACCACTAAAATTTATATTTTATATCAAAGCAATTAATGAATAATATTACATGCTTAATAATTTTGACAACTTATGATTAATATCAAGTAGGATGATGTCATATTTTTTAGCCATTTTTTTATAGATTATAATATCAATTAAAAAAATTAATGCTAAACTTACTTAATCTTCAAATATTAAGTCAAACAATTGATTTTGTTGTGAAGTATAATAATTTTCTTTTTGGATTTTAATCGAAATATTGCACAAATAAGCCTCAATGTTTTTTACAATTTAATAGCAACATTAATTTCTTTTCAACATATATATTTAAAAATAGAAGATATACAAATTGATATGATATATTTTAAACATCTTATTGAGTAAAAAAACTTCTTGTTGTCAAAAAGTATTGTCTTTATATTATAGAGAACTTAAGCATACTTTTCAACATTATCCAAATAAGCAATCCAATGAGAAAATGAGAAGTATAGATATCAAAGTAAATAATATGTTGAAAATAAAGTTTGTCCAATTATAATAAGGACCGTACAGCTAGAATCTTATATGATACCTAATGAAGGTCTTATTCTCTCTTAAGAATCATCTCCTTGTTTTATAATAGATATTTCTTTAGAACCTAAAAATTACAAAATCTTTGTATTCATAGATTTAAAAGCCTCAACTTATGTTTTAGATGAAAATTTGTTGAAAGATATAAAATACCTTTATAAAAAAAAACTAAACTTATACTTGTAGAAATCATAGATGGTTATTTTTTGTCTTTTAGAGATGTTATTTATAAAATCTTTTCTATAGATGTAATAAAAAATAGTTATAATAGTTTAGTGATATTTAATATAATTATATATTTATTTAATATAATTATTTTAGATTTATTATTGCTAAAAAAATATAACCCTTGGATAGATTAGATTTTTTGTAGTCTTGAATTTTTTCAAAGTATAACAAAAAAATTGTTAATCAAGTAGAAATTCATAAATTTAGTAAAATTAAACTCTAATTTATAAGTGTAAGAACTTTTATAAATATTGTAAAAAAATTTCACTTCTTTTTATTTGTGCCACATTCATTTTTAATGATGGAAAGACTTCAAGTAGCATTTTAAACCAATATCAAGATTATTAAGATATTTAAAAAATTGCAAATAATTTTTGGAATATAGTCTTAATGATTGCTCAAGTGACCTTCAAGAGGGAGCTCAATTGCTATTTAGATAAATCTATAGTTTATAACAAATAAGTTAGTTAAGCTCAAGGAATACATTAATGAGAATTTGATTAAGAATTTTATAAGCCATTCTAAATTTCAAACATGAGTTCTTATTTTATTTGTAAAAAAAATAAAAAAAAATAAAGATAATATAGATATATGTGGATTATCAAGGACTCAAAATAATTACCATCAAGAACATGTATACTTTACATTTGATATTAAAATTTCTTGATCAATTAAATTAAGCTAAAATCTATATTAAAATAGATCTACAATGAGTATATAATATATCACATATCAAAAAAGATTTAAATCAAAGATTACATTTTAAATTACATATGGGCATTTTGAATATAATGTCATGCCTTTTAGATTTACAAATGCATTGGCTACTTTTTGACTTCTTAGAAGATTTTTTCTTTTTTATGTAGAGGATATCATAATGTATTTTAAAAAGGTAGAAGAATAAAAACTTCATATTTGATTTGTGTT